TATACTCTAATAAATATCAATGTCAAATAAATTATAATTAGTCTAATTTGATTTTTAAAAACGTTAAAAATATAATACTCAATAAATAATAAATTTCAACTCATGTGAATTTTCAAAAATAAAATAAAAAATATGCTATTAGATATTTCTCCTCACTACAATAAATGCCTATGAAGATTTGTATGGTTTTATTTTGTTTTGTTTCCACCAAAAAAAAAAATCTTTGTCGTTTTTGCATGCACGGCACACCCTGCTGTGCTTAAGCACAGCAGGTACCCCTTGTCCATTAAGGGAAAGGGGTGCCTCCTGTACAGCCGGTACTGCCATGCGGCAAAACGGCACAAAATAATAATGCTATAATTTATTTGATTTTTATACTACTTTTAATATATCACCTTATATATTATTGATGTAATAGATTTTATCACTTAAGAGCAGAATCAAAATTTCAATTCTGGAGGAGCCCAGATATGTATAATTTTTAATTTATCAATTATTAAAAATTGTCCTATTTCATTTTTAAAATGAGAAACAAACTAATATTTAATACTAAATTTATACATAAAAAATTAATATTTATTTAGTCTTATCATGACCAGAAGAGAAGTCATATCTATTCAACTTTAACATATAAATAAAATAAAAACTATGAATTTATTAATTTATTTTTTATTTTTTATTTTTTATTTTATATCAACCCTGAAAAATCTAGAAATCCCCTAGATGTTGATTTGTGATTATGTATCAATTTTAAGCAGAATATAACAATCACAATCAAACAATCAAGACAAAGAAACACAACGATTTTACGTGGAAAAAACCACAATTGGACACCTCCAACTGTGATAAAAAAAAAACCACGGGCAACAGTCACAAGACAATCGACTAAGAAGAATTAAAGGAATTACACAGGTATACTCTCAATTACCTAGCGAATCCACAACGCCGAATTGAACCAACCTTTATGTGCCTCTTCCAACCCCATCTTCACCACGGAATTGATCCTGAAGTTGATTCCACACCACAACTTCACTTGTCGAATTAACGACTGCGTAGACTCAAACGCCTTTTGGATCCTACGCTTCAATCTTCGGAATCCACCGAAGGGAACTCACTTGAAACTTAAGAAGCAACCTCCTTGATGTATGAATCTCAATGCATAAGTTCAGAACTCTCTCAAGAACATCAAAGAAAACTATGAAAAATCTCCAAAGAAAACTTTAAACACAACCCTAGTTCTTTTAGATCAGATCTAGGAAAAACTGGAAAAATATAACATAATCGGACAGCTCGATCCCCGTCATAATCAGCGAAGTGGCAATCTTGAAAGCTTTGTCAACACAAACTTCTCTGAAAGGCTTGATTCGGGTTGGATTCGCATCTAAACACTCAAAGTCTCACTGAAATAAAAATGCGAATAAAATTACAAGTCAAAGGAGTTTTGTCAAACGGGTTTGCCAAGAAATAAAACCTAACAATCTCCCCCTTTGGCAATGCCGTGACAAAACACACCTAACAAATAAAATCCTAAACACCCCAACCCATTACAGCCAACAAAAGCCAACTTCTTTTTTCAAGGTCTTGATCTGCAAAATAGTTATTAGTGCCACAATCTCCAAAACAACTATTAGTCCCACAAGAGTATATATCTTGAAACATGAGATGGAAAACATGAATAGATGAAAACTAAGACTCATGAAAGACAACTCTCAAATAACAAAAGCAAGATCATAAACCACACAAGCAATGATATGACGATGTAAATGCCATGAACATGCAAGAAGGGCAAATAGTGCATGGCAACATGCAAAACAAATAGCCAATCTCCCTTACCAAACATATCAAAGTGTTCATGCTAAACAACTCTTGCAATGATAACCCAAGCTCCCTTACCAACCCAAATCAAGAAGAACCAAACTCCCCCTCACTAAAAGCAACCACAAACACTGAAAAACAGTGAGCAAGAAGAGAATGATAAAAAAAAATATGGTGGAGCAAGCAAGGAATTTCAGATTAGTACCTTAAAACACATAAGATTATCCAAGAAGCACCATTACAAGTAAACACAATGTGCACAGTCTGTAGAAAATTTCTCATGAAAGAAAGTGATGCATTATGTGAAAAGCATAGATCCCATGATAAAAAGTGTGTGTGTGACTCTTGGAGTTCGACAAACACTAGATTCAATCCTAGTAGTGATCTGAAAGTTGGACCTCCGACAAGAGAATCTTAAGCACGACAAAGGAAAGTCAAACCACTAGGAATCAAGAGGTATTTGGTGAGTAAAGGCGGAGGCTCCCCCTCAATCAATGAATCTTTTTCCCTTTTTTTTTCACACACTTTTTCTTTTCTTTCTTTTTCACTTTTTTTCTTTTCTTTTTCTTTTTCTTTTTCTTTTGCACAATCATTGGTGGCTGACACGCTCAAGAGTATGGAAACCAAACCAGAGAAGCATGGATATAATAAGGATGGCCTGGTTGGTGACTCTGAGGTAGCCTTTTCCTCATGGCTAGACTGCAAAGAATTAAGGGGAAAGCCATGGAGATGCAAAAAGATGTAGGTGGTTAAGAGACTCAACATCACCCAAGATATGCTAGTATAGGTCAATTCCTCTAGAAAAGCAAAAGATACAATGCCAGAAGTCCAAAAAAAAAAAATAATTTTTGAGAGGTGCATTTAGAGAAAAAATTATTCCATAATCCCGGTATGTCACGTGGCCATACTCTAAGCCAATCACCAATTACGTAGCCTCATGTTGTTCTCTCATCCCCAACATAAATCATGCGCCCTACCCCTCTCTACCAATCAAAACTTTATGCAATACCACGTACCCATACTTCAAAAATACTAAATAATCACCCCATTTAAAGGCACCCGAGATGGTCAAATTAAGTATAGTAAAATTAGGAACATACATACCCTTGTAAACTCCTTGATAGACGTGAGGTAACTCTGCAAGATACTTGACAATGAAAGCACATGCAGAGCTTGCAGTGTCATGGCCACCAATAAGCAAACCCAATATCTTATCAGCAATATCACTCTCCTTCATGAACTTGCCATCCTCATCTGTCGTGAGCAACATGTGGGATAATATATCTTGCACTGGTGACGCCTTTCCCTCTGCCAAGCCGATCTTTCTTTGCTTGATGATTCTCATTAGGAACTCCTTTCTGATGTATTCGGACGCCTTGATGGAGCGATGAAACGGTGTCCCCGGCAAGTCCACTGGGATTGACATTAACCCTCTGACAAGACCTCAAAACGTTCCAAGAATCTATCTACTTCCTTTGGATCTTCTATGCTAAGAAACAATCGACAAGCAATCCAGAATGTGTAGCGTTTGGTGAGTGGGTAGACCACAACGATCATGTCCTATAAAATTATATGCAACAACAAAATTAATAATTATTTAAATAAAAATTATTGTATTTATTGATAAATCAATTGTACAATAATTTAAGTACAATTATACTTAAAAATAGATTTTCAATCTTTTCTTCATACATGGCATGGGTTTGCAGCAGCTCATTCCTCTCTGTCTCACAAGTCAACAGTTTTGCACAAAGAACTTGTCGGTCATCAGCTACCTTGATGGCATTGATCCTAGCCTCGGAAATCTCCTTCTTAAGTTTGACATTCTCGCATTCACATGCTTTGAGTTTCTTTGTGAGTTTGTCATTCAATTTGAATAAATTAAGAGACTTCTGATACAACTTTTCATAAGCTTGCTCAAGCTCTTCATGATCACTCTCTGAGGATTCATCATCAGTGATATTCTCAACTGACATTTTCGGAGAATCTGTTTGTCCTTCAGCTTCCGAAGCCGCCATGAAAGCCAGAAATTGTTTATGACCCTCTTCGCCTTGATCTTCATTGTTACTTTCATCATCGTCAGATTCAGATTCATCATCCCAAGTGATAGCGAGGGCTTTCTTCTTCCTCAAACGAGTAGGGCATTCTGAAGCAAAGTGGCCAAATCCTTGGCATTCATAGCATTGGAGTCTTTCAGAGTTCTCTTGTATCTTTCCTTTCTCCTTCTTGACTATAGGATTAATTTTGAGTTTATCTTTGCCTTTAGATTTATGAGAATGAGTAGATTCCAAAAGATTAGGATTCTTTTTCAAAAAAGATTTTTTAAATTGTTTAACAAAAGCAGCCGTAATCTTGGAATCTATCTCACCATCCTCATCAGAATCCTCTCTAACTTTATGAGCACTACTAAAAGCAATATCTTTTTGTTTCTGTTTGAAATTCCTGTGTGCCTCATAAGTTTGGAGATTTCCAACCAACTGATCCAGCTTGAGGTTGTCAACATCTTGAGCCTCCTCAATAGCCGTAACTTTTGGTTGGAACCGATCGGGCAAGGATCTCAAAATTTTTCCCACAACTTTGGATTCTGGATGAGGAAATTGTAAATGAAGAAATTAAGTAAAATTGTGTTTGTTTTGATGATAGTTATTAGGGTAGAGATTGTTAAATTATTTTTATATAAAATAATAAAATAAATAAAACCATTGTTTTTAACAAAAAAAATACAAAAACATTAAACATTAGTGTTCAAAATGTGTTGCCCAACATATAAAAAAAAAAATTACACTTGACTGGTTGACCAATTGAAAGATCGGCCGATTAACCGGCAGAACGTCTGACCAGTCGCCCCTCAAACAACCGGTAACACTCTAGTTTGAAAGGATTATTTTCTAATATTACCTCCTCACTCAGTCTATCACTCTGTTTGTTCAAGACTTTTCATAGTTCGAAGAGATTACGAACCTAAACTTCTATATCACTTACTGTCCACTCCGGACTGCTACTATGGAAAACAAACAAGCCCAAAAATCCACCTTTGCAAACAAAACCCCAAAAAAAAATAAAAATAAATAAATAAATAAAAATAAAAATACATCAAACCAAGAAAAAGATAACAGGCAAAACAAGGAGACATAAAAAGAATAAGAAGTACAAAATAACATAAAAGGGAACAAATATATGCTTACCTTTGATCCACTTTAAACATCTACCTCTGCAAATAACCAAAAAAAAAAAAAAATACTAAGAAAATTGAATGCTTGTAAAACAATATGAAAATAATAATAGTAATAATAATAAAGAAAGGGCACAGAATACAAACTCACAATTTTGGGGGAAAGTAAAATAAAATCGACAGATGCGTAAAGAAAACTAACGAAAAGTCGAATGAACTGGGTCATGCAAAGAACAGGAAGCCTAAATACTTCAACAAAATCGACAAAGGAGAGCAAGAGAGAACACAAAACCAAACCTGAGAAAAATAATGGAGCAGTCTTCAAGAGGAGAAAGAAAATACACTAGAATATAAAGGAAAAGTGACAGATAAACGTTAGTTTCCAATTTACTTGAAAAAAGAAAAAAACAAAATAGCGGTGATACAGACACCAGCACCCCCACGGCCCCCACACATTTGTGAGAGAGAGGGAGGAGAGAGAGGAAGAAAAAAAAATATAATGTGTGGTCATAAAATTAAGGGAAAGGGGTGCTTACTGTACAGCAGGTACTGCCGTGCGGCAAAACGGTACAATTTTGGTGCATTTTGCTTCTTTTTTTTTTGTTTAATATAATTTTTCCTTGATTTTTTTTTTATTGGTGTGTGTGCTGCTATTGGTTAGTTTTTGGTTTGAGCACATTTATCAAAATTACATTACTTTAAGAAAAATAAACAAAAATAATAAGGCAAAATTATTTTTAAAAAAATCTTAAAATTTGGCCTTTATAATAAAATAACTTATAAATTTTTAATTTTATTAATTTTAATCTTAATTTTTTTATTTTTTTAGTTTAAACCATTGAGCTATTTTCATTAGCTAAATTGACAGAAAATGATATTTTAGACATTTTATGTATATCTATATTGAGTTTAATGACTAAAATTTTTTTTCTCAAAGTCTCACTGAAATAAAAATGCGAATAAAATTACAAGTCAAAGGAGTTTTGTCAAACGGGTTTGCCAAGAAATAAAACCTAACAAACCCAATTATCTATTTAAGTGAAACTAAGCCTTCAATGAGTAACTCGAGTTTTGAAAAAAAACGCCACTCTACATGGGAAGTCTCTCAGTTGAATCTTTGCAAGTTCTCATGATGGTAAATAAGATATGATTAATGCAATAATATTTTTAAATTTTACTTTGAAAAACAAAAACAAACAAAGGTTCAAGGTGTATATAAGGGTGTAAAATCAGCCCACGAGCACAAGGCCCACCTACAGTCCCTTCGCGGCGCGATACGGCCCAGACTCGAGCCCAACCTGAGAACCTGTGCTTGGGTCATCTGTTTTGAGGTTTGTCCTGGTCCACTAGCTCGCTCAAGGCCTGACCTGACCCGCCAAAGGCCCACACCCATTTCTAGCTATTTGGGTGGGAAAAAAAAAAAAGAAAGAAGATTAAAAAATGGTCCAGCCTACCCCAAGTTTGAGCCCAGGCCTAGCCTAAATTTTTGCGGGAGCTTGCTAGGCCCAACGACGTGCAAACCTAAGCCCGGGCTCGGGTGGGTCGGGCCAGTTCGGTTCGTTTTTACACTCCTAGGTGTATATTTGGTTGGTATTTCCATTCTTTTGTACATCACATAAAAGCTTGTTTTATTTATATTAAAAAAAAAAAAGAATTTTTCAATATTTTTATACATTAGATGATAGCTAACAAGAGGACCATATGTAATAAGTGAAAAGTTTTGGATAGCAATAAAACTATTCAAGTAGCATTTCTTACTTGGGACAGGGGGCCAAGGCCCTTGATAGTCTAATTGTAACGGTTTAGGTCGAGATTTGAGCTTTTTATAAAAAAATTGACTTGGCCTGAAAATTTTCTAAATATAAAAATTAGATTTTTCAAAATTTACGATTTTGAAAATAATATTTGGTGGTAATTGTTCTTTAGATATCAAATAGTCTAATTTGATTTTATGGGATTTTTCTACAATGTATTGATCACTTTACTTCAACGTCAAATTTAGAAATTCCAGTCGGAAAATTATTTTTTTACTAAAACTTGGGGAGTCACTTTTTGATTTAATTGGATTTGATTTTGAATTTTTTTTTTTGGGGGTATTTTTCTTTGAATCCAAATGGGGGTATTTCTTATTTACATTGTAAACTTAAGTAAATAAAATATAAATGTAAAAGGCTAAATAAAAGTATTTACATATGGAAATAATGTTGATGTACTAGGAGTGCCTTAGAAACTATGCTTTGTGACTAGCTATGTGACTAAGTACTCACTTTAGTGGAGATGCAGGGCTCCTAGTATTTTAATTGTAGACTTGCAAAACTTCTAAGAGATTGCGTTCATCGCTTGAGCAGTAAAATGTTTGCTCAAGCGGTCTATTCGGGATCAGTACTTTAAAAAGTCATTTTTATCCAATATTTCCTCATTCTTTCCATATTCTCTCTCTCTCTCTCTCTCTCTCTCTCTCTCCATCCAGCCATTGTTGAGCTTCAAAGCTCTTTAAATCTTGGATTTCATCTCCTTTTAGTGAAAATCTCACCCTAGTCCCTTGCACAAAAATGATGAGCACGACGAGGGCTTTCTATTAATTGAAGCGGATCGTGTTTTCATTGAAGCTGGCCTTCTGGGTATCTTCATTTTCTTGCTAAAGGTAGGGATTTCTTTGCTTCTCCTCAATATCTGCATATAGATAAATGGGTGGTATGTTTTTATTACATAAAACCTTATATTGAAAGGGATTTTCTTGAAAAGCATGTAGAGGGAGTTAGGGTTCTAAACAAAAGAGTTAAACATGTGATTAAAGTAGATTATGGAAGTTTTGGTGTCATGAAAACATGATTATGTACTTTAAGGTGGAAAGCCCCAAATTTTATCCAAACCCTAGTTTTGAATTTTATTTTAGCATGGGGTTTTCTTCAATTAGTCTTTGATTCTTGAAATTGAGTTGATGCTTGATTGAAATTGAGTATGATTGTTGATTATTAGATGTTACGAGAACAATTCTTGTGGGGTGGGTTCATGTTATGGTAATCAGTGATGGAATTTGATGTTATGAACTATGGAAGTATATGACATTAAATGGTTTGTGTAAATTAAATAAAAGAAGTTGTGATTGAAGTTTGAGAAAAACAAATCATCTTTCTCCATAAAGAAGAAATTTTACCTTGATTATTAAATGGAATGTTGGTGTAGTTTTTCTAAATTGAAATGAGGAATTGATGGGTTAAAGTTTTGGAAAGAGGGTTTGTTTCCTTCCGACTTATGACCAATAAAATGTGGCGCTTGATAGAGGTTCCACCTTCCTTCCGGAGTGGCGCCGGTAAAGTGTGTGGATTGTTGGGCTATATGGAAGTTCCGCTTTCCTTCTAATTAGCCACCGGTAAAGTGTGGCACTTGAGATAGGTTTCAGCTTTCCTTCTAGAGTAGCACCTAATAAACTGTGTTGGAATGGCTTGGTTGGTGAAGTCTGTTGTTGGTACATGGACATTTGTTGTTAATTATGTGATAAGTTGTATATGTTAACATCACGAATTGTAGTGGATAAGAATGATATGAATCAAATTGTATAATTTCAAAGTGTGAAACGTGTTGTTGTGTGTATGTGTGTGGTGTTATGAGGGTATTGATAAGGTGACGAGTTGTGGCATGATTAATAAGTATAAAATAAGAAATTGAAAGAACATAAGATTAGTTGGACTAAAATCTTTGTTAAGGAAAAAGGGGATTTTGAGGAAATCTTACAATTAAATACTGAAAAGAGATGATAAATGTGTTTTTCTTTAAAATGTCAGGTGGAATTTTGTGAAAAGAGTATCTAATTATGTAATCTATTTTGCATATTCAATGATACATTATTTATGTATGTATCACCTGATAGCATTCATGATCGCATATATCTATTGATCTTATTGTTGAGAATTACTGTAGATCTGTACTAGATCTTGTGTTCATCCCATGTTGTTTAAACATTTTTATAGGAATGAAGTATGAAACCGCAATTTGCAGATCCAAGAGTTATTATTTATTTTGTTTGAGTTTATCTTGTGTAAATTGTAAATGATTGATTGAAGGGTGGCGATGTTGGAGTGGTTCTTTCGATGTATTCATTTTATCTTGAAATCTTCCATGTAAGCCCATTGGGGTATGTATAATTGATTGTGTTTAACATTCATTCATTGCAATTATGAGAGAGAGAGAACTTCATGGTGTTTCTATAATTATGATTGGAAATGGTCTTTTATAAGGAATTTGGTAAATTATCCAAGTAATAAAAATTGGGGGCGTGACACCATTAATAAGGGGTAGTGCTAGATTGGTCGTGTGAATGAGATGGCCCAAGTTGTTCAAATGATGTGGATTGCTTATGTGGCGTTGATGTGGAATATAATTTTTTTTATTATTATTTTGATATTGTATCTAGTTGTTGTTGACAATAGATGATTTCTTAAGTTATTTTATTAACTCTTTTTATAGTAAATTCTATATCTTTAGCAATACCAATATTTAGTAGATTTTGTAAAAAAAATTATGTCGTTGTTGACGGTTTACTATTAATACTATTATTTGAATATAATCTAACAATAGATCCTGAATATAGAAATGGTGATAAATACTAATAAAAAAAAAAAACTTTATTATTGATACTTCTTATATTATTAAGATGTTTTGATTTAGGCTAACTATACTTTCAAAATAAGAACAGTATCTAAAGATTTCGATTGTTAGCTGAACGTAGTCGGTGTAGGGTTCTGGCGTTATCAAGCTTCCAGTTTACAGAGGTGGTTAACATCAACCTTTACTTACTTAGATCAAGCTCAACACATCTATTTCTTTTCATACCTTAGGTCGTAACTTCAGAAATTGTTTCTTTGATTATGTAGGAGACCTAAGATCAATAATTTGACATACAGTAGTAGCACACTCTTTTTTGGAAAAGAAATAAAAAATTTATTGAACAAAAATTTACAAGGAAAGGGGTGCTTGTAGACTGTTAGATTGCTAGAGCATTGTTTGCTGTAAGAAGGCTTGAGAACTAGACTTTTTTTCTTAGTTTCAAGTATGCTCTAAGTAATCTGTATCCCTTCTAGCTTTCCCTTAAGGCCCTGATATGGATACCTTATGGACTTCAAGTTTGGACTTTAGCCTAATCTATAAACATAAAATATTTTACATATTATATTTTATTGTTGTTAGAAGACAAAAAAAAAAGGCAAGTAAGCAGTTGGTATGGTTACATGGTGATCGCATATTATTTATGAACAAGAAACATCTGGTGGTGTAGTCACATAGAGGTGTAATCTTTTCAAACCATGGTTTTGCCAAACTGCCCATAGTTTTGTCAATCCATTGCATTTTCTAGATTTCATATCCCCTCATCACCCATGACATCATTAAGATCATAATTCTCATAATATTCTTCAAACATTTCATTATATCCTTCTAGATCT